CGTCGTGTACGCAATGGGCAAAAGAGCTTAATATTAAAGTGTCATGTGGGCCCAACCGTTTTATAAAAAATATAGTTATGTTTTAAAAAAATAAAAAATATCCAACCAAATATGTTTTACATTTTTTATTTAAAAAATATATAAATTATAATAACACTAAACACACTTTCTAAAAAAAAACATATAAATTATAATAACACTAAACACACTTTCTAAAAATAGAAAACAAAAAATAAAACAAAGCCAGAACAGACAAAACAAAAATAAAAACAAAAAATAGAAAGTAATCCCAAACAGACACTTAGATTTTAAACTTCGGTATTCAGGTATGAGTCGCAGTAGAAATGTAATAGGTGTAACTATAGATAAGAGTTTGAACGATAATGTTGTAAAAATTTATAGAATTAAAGATAGAATTATAGCCCTAAAGATTGTTGCTGGTACTGAGATTTTTAAAGTTATAAGTGATTATGCACCTCAAGAATGTTTAGATATAGGTTCAAAAAAAAATTTTGAAACGACCTAGAATAATTAATACAAATAATACCTCTTGAAGAAATAATTTTTATTGGAGGATATTCAAATGAGTATGTTGGTAGAGTGATGAAAAAGTTTAGAAAAGTCATGATGGCTATAGTTTGGAGTGATTAATGAAAAAGTTAGAACAATATTAGATTTTATTTAGCGTATGATCTTGTTATTGCTAATACTTTACTTAAAAAAAGAGATAAATATATTATTACTAATAAAAATGGATCTAATAAAACACAATTTGATTATTTTCTTATGATAAAAAGATACCATCGAGAGTGTAAAGGCTGTAAAGTCATTTCGAGTGAAAATTTAAGTACTCAACATCAATTATTAGTTTTGGATTTTTAAACGAAGAGTTGTAAGAAAAAGAATACAAGGAAATATTATTATAAAATTAGATAGGGGCACCTAAAAGACACAAATAAAATTATAAAATTATTTTTATGAGTAAACTTCAAAATTTAAAAATTTGAGATGTTTATGAAGAAGGTGATTATGTGGGATAAAGTAACAAACACTATTAAACAAGTGACAAAATATGTATTTGGAGAATCAAATGAAAATGTTTTAATAAATAAAAATAGTTTGTGAAACAATAATGTGCAATAAAAGATAACATATAAGAAGTTTTGTTATAAAAATTGATTTAAATGTAAAAAACTTAGAAAATTAGAAAAAAATATAAGGTAGACCACAAAAAGTCTAAAAGATTAATTTGTGACGCTAAAAATTCTGCTCTTAGTGATTTTTATAATAGATTGGATAATAAAGAGGGTAAAAAATATACGTATAAATTAGCTAAATAAATATATAAGAAAAGTAAAAATTTAATTAAAGAAAAATGTATTTAAGATGAAAAAAAATTAATTTTCTTAGAGGAAGATATTCAACATAGATGGTTGATTTATTTTGATAAACTTTTCAAAAAAAAATTCAAAAAATAGGTTTAACCTTTGTGATCTTACTATCATTATTAATAATAATACATTTTATTTTTAACATCACATTAATAAAAAAAGAAGTTGAAGAGACTTGAAAGAAAATCATGGGTTGAAAATCAGAAGGATTTGATAATATCCCAATTGAGGTGTGGAAATATATAGGAGATTTGAGATTTTCTTAGCGAAAATCATAAGGATTTGATAATATCTCAATTGAAGTGTGGAAATATATAGGAGATTTGAGATTTTCTTAGCATATTAAACTCTTTAATATTATTTTAGAACTAAAAAAAATGTCTAAGGAGTCGAGGGAGAGTATTTTAATTCTTATTTTTAAGAATAAAGAGGATGCACAAGAATATGCAAATTATAGAGGAAATAAGTTGATGTGTCATACTTTAAAATTTGAGAAAGGGTAATTGAACATAGGCTAGAAGTGATATAAAGCCTTCTCAAATCAGTTTGGATTTATGTCGTGCAGGTCCACTGTGAAAGCTTTATAATTTGCATGGAGGTTTGATGGAGAAGTATAGAGTGAATAAGGAGAAACTAGATATGATTTTTATTGACTTAGATAAAGCTTACGATAATGTTCCAAGAGAAGTCCTTTGGAGAGTTTTGGAGAAGGAAAGTTGTTGATATGACTTATATTCAAGTCATTAAAGATATGTATACTAAGTTGTTACTTGAGTTCAAATAGAAGGAGAATTGATCAATTATTTTTCTATTTCAGTTGGATTACATCAGAGAATGACTTTAAGCCCATATCTTTTTTCCTTTAGTTATGGATGCTCTTATTGGACATTTCTAAGAGGATGTAGCATGGTGTATGCTTTTCACTGATGATATCCTTCTTGTGGATAGGACTAGAGAAAGAGTTCAGGGAAAACTTGAATTATGGAAGTCAACATTGGAGTCTAAAGCCTTCATTTTGAGTAGATCTAAAATTGAATACATGGAATTTAATTTTATTGGTAGTAGCTCTAATGGCAGAGTTGTAACTATGGGTGTTCAAATCATTAAAAGGTGTGAACGTTTTAGATAACTCCGGTCTATTGTTAAAAGTGATTGTGATATATATGAGGATGTTATTAGTAGAATACAAGTTGATTGGCTGAAGTGGAGGAATGCATTGGGATTATTGTGTGATAGAAAAGTCTGCTTAGACTGAAAGGAAATTTTTCTAAGATGGTGGTGAGACCTGCAATGCTCTATGACACGGAATGTTGGCCTTTAAAAGAGAAGCATAAAACAGAGTTAAGTGTTACTGAGATGAGCATGCTTGGGTGGATGAGTGGCTTGATACTTTAGAGACAAAACGAGAAATGAATATATTTGTGATAGGGTAGGTGTAGATCCAGTGGAGGACAAGATTAGAGAAATTTGTCTTAGATGGTTTGGTTATATTAAACGATAACCATCTGATAATCTTCTTAAAAGAGTAGATGCATTAGCTTTGAGTTATGTTAAGAAAGGCAGATGTAGACCTAAGAATACTTGGGCATATTGTTTAAAAATAATCTTAATCTGTTAGAAATAAATGAAAATATGACACTTTATAGGATGCAATGCAGAAAAATGATTCATGTAGCCGACCCCACTTAGTGAGACAGAGGCTTGTTGTTGTTGAAGGCTTGTTGTTGTTCTTCTTCTTCTTCTTCTTCTTCTTTGAGGCTTGTTGTTGTTGTTGTTCTTCTTCTTCTTCTTCTTCTTCTTCTTCCTTTCCACCACTCCTTAATACACCACCAGCAGTGCTAAAAATAGCCTTATCTTTCTTGCATCCCCTTTAATAATAGCCCGTCTCGTTATATTAGACCAGCTCCCCAATTACTCCCCCCATAACAACAAATCCCTACATATTCCTGCACTGCCATCTCACCTTCCATTGTTGATACCCATCCTCAGTAAGCCAATCTTTTCTCCGCATCTTTCAGCATTTTTTCTCTTCCATTTAATGTCTAAAGTAAGCAACAGAAGGAGCTGTTGCCCTTTAGCTACAATCTATGGCATGAATGTACATTATTTCAGCTATTGAAGCAATGTATGTGCGTTCATGTTAAACTTTCTTTTGCTGCTGATTCAATAATCCCCAACAAGATAAAATGTGGTTTCAATCTATAGAGAACTGGTTTCCTGAAAACCTAAGCCTACATTTTCCAACTTTACATTTCATACAACGTCATTTGTTCATCATATCAAACAAACTATATGCATTATGCCTTAAGTGAACGAACTTGATGATCACAAACTCATAATTACTATCTGATCTCAAGCAAACCCAACAGCAAATAAGTAGGATACCATAGGAAACTCATCCGTAATCAAGCATGCACAACATTTCCATCAAATTCGTAGAACAACAGGATACCTTATAGAATTTTAGGTCAATGGGCAGGCTTTCAGATGCGAGAATAGTAGAAAGAGCCTTATCCACCGCATCCGATTTTATCAAAGCAACGACCTTGCACCGAATGGCGTCCTCGTCTCCAGGGGCAACCGAAAGAACTGAAATAAGGAATGCATTCAATCGAAAAGAAAAAGCGTAAATGAAGATCGGGAACCAGAAAGAAGAGGAGAGACCTTGATGTGCGACCTTGAGGACCTGATCATACTCGGAATTCTCGCAATGGCGATGAAGGGCAGAGAAAAGGTCCTCCAGTGGTGGCGTCAGAGGTTTGGAGGCTGGCGGCGAGGGCTTTGGCTTCGCCTTGGGCGCCATGGACTAGACTGGCTGACAGCCAAGCAGGCGTAGAAGATCTAAATGGTAGGACAGGATAAATTATGATTAAGCTGTTCGGAAGCCGGTTTTAAGCAGGATTATGCGGATTTAGGCTAAATCCCGTCAAACGAAAGCCGATTCGGGATAAATCAGGGAAATCATGTGAATCGGCGATTTTAGTAAATCCGTGACAAGCAAAGAGGAAGAATGGCGCGACCAGGCTTACCTTCCTCGATGTTTTCTGGTAGGAGCGGAGCGGAAGGATGAGAAAGATTGGTTGGGAGTTTCGGTCGTCTCCGTAAGCCGCGATCCCGTCGTTAGCTTCACAGCGCCACCGTATCGTGAAGGCGATGGTTTTGGGTGAAACCGGCGGGGAAAGTGAGTCAGGGCCTCTAAACCAGCTGAGCCTGTGGGAGCCCAGGTTTGGCTCTTGAATTGCATGTTCAAAATTGACTCTTGATCAATATGTTTGTATTCGTCTCAATTTAAATATTTTAATTCGTGTTCGGCTCGAAATTGGCTTCTTAAAATTAATTGAAAAAAAAATCAATGTAGAGTATTGAATTTGAATCTAATGCGTGCTAGAAAATTTGTGACGGTTGAGTAATGGATTATCGTCATAACGTTGCACGAGGATTCAACACACACTCAGATGAAAGTGAAACAACCAGTGATGACAGCAGAAGTTTTTACGTGAAAAACCCGTAAAAGAAAAAAAACCACGGGATCTGACCCAGTTATAAAAATCAATAATATATTGATAATTACAGCGACCCCTTGTCCCACAGACGGAAAAATGTTACAAGATTTTCAGATTACAGTGTCATCTGACGGTGTCCGGTCAATGGTGGTCGACGATGATCAATGGTGGATGATGGTCGGCGGTGGTCAACGGAGGTCGGTGGTGATCGGCGGTAATCGACGATGGTCGGCGGTGGTCGGCGATAGTAGGGATGATGTTGGACTTGAGCTCTTTCTCAAAGTCTCAAGTTCTCTCTTAAGCCCCACTCCTCCCTCATGTGAAGTGTGGAGCTCTATTTATAGTGTTTTGGGTGATATTAATGTAGGAATATGAATCATTTTGATCGGACGGTCTGGAGACCACTCCTCCCTCATGTGAAGTGTGGAGCTCTATTTATAGTGTTTTGGGTGATATTAATGTAGGAATATGAATCATTTTGATCGGACGGTCTGGAGAGATTCCCTTGATCATATGACGTTTGATGGACATTTGAGTGTCTTAATGATGTTGGAATTGAGCAATCTTGGGCTCATTGGATTCGTCTTGTCGAGACTCTCGATTCGACTATGAACTTGCTAGATTCGACATCCGTTTGATCTTTCAAATGCATCCGGAAATCCTCCAATAGTGATTTAATGATTTGATTCGGGTTTGATTTGACTCGGACTGAACTGACTTTCACATCATTAGGTCTATTTCATCAACCGATCAGTTTGACTAAAAGTTTGATGAAATTGGACATTTGGATGACTCTTAATCGAAGTTTGAATGTTTTTTGTTCAACAAATTGTATCGAAATTCGTGTCGGATAATGAAAATTTATTGGTGGTGTATCAGAATCTAAACTAAATGTATGCGAAAGAAGACACATAATCACATTACCACATGAGCTATTATAATTTAAAATTAGATATAAGTATATATAATATAGTGTTATATAAATAATATATATAATATATTATTATATAAATAATTATATGATTTTTTTTTATTTCGAGCTAAACGAGCCAAACACGAGCGAATAAAGAGTTGTCAGCATTTGACTCATTTATAATTCGAGCTTCAAAAATTGTACGTGTTTGACTTTTTTGATTAACAAACAAGCCGAACACAAGATGTTCGCAAACAATGAGCTTTTTTGACAACCCTAGAAGTGGCATAAGCAAGGGTGTTTTTCTCCCAAAAGATGGGAAGTTCGAATGAAACAGAGAGTTAGCATTGTGATTTTAATTTATTTTTTATTTAAGTGAATTTATTAGTTTAATTTATTAAAAATTAATAATTAATTTATACATTATTAAATTAATTTTAATTAGAAAATTTTATATTTAATGATCTAATAATTCACTAATGAATAAAAATATATTTTAAAATTTAAATTGTTTAAAAAATTGTAATTAATTCACAATTTTAATCCATTAATTTGGTAAGAAGATTTCTTGCCAAAATAATTTTCTACTTTGTCGGCACGGTTACAACAAAAATTGGCGTGGTCACACTAGCCTTCTAAATCGTGTGGCTTACTCACCCTTAATTCGGGCATGGTCACGCCACCTATCTGAAAATTAGGCATGGTCACGTTGGATTGTGGCATGATCACGCCGCCGGTGTCGATACTTTGACGTGGTCACGCTGCTTCCAAGCATGGCCATGCCGCTTTAGGTTGCTTTTTTAGGTTGGGTTTTCTCGTTCTAAATGCACATATTCAACACCTATAACATGCACAACATCAACAAAACCTTTCACAAGTATATATTTGTGATAAATCAGTAAAAATAACAGGTAAAATACCGAGTAAAAAGCTGGTGAAATCTTGTAAAAATGACGCATATCATCCATCAAGTATGCCACCATGTTCAGATATCTTTCTGTGTCTGATGCGACCGCTCACACCCCGAAAGAGCAGTCCCATCGAGTTTAGCCTCTTGGCACACCACTCGTGATTATTCATACCTAGATAGAGTGACCACGATATGCCAAGTCGCCTCGCATTTTGCATGAGTATTACATGATCCGTCTTGATAGCGAATTGACCATATTAATTGAGTGGCATGTTGCTAGTTACGATGTCTTAATGAGGATTCATCATGATTCTTCAACTCGACTCGCCAGTCATATCTTTTTATTTAGAAGGTTGTCTATAATGCATAAGGTGTCAGAGACTCCCTGACCCAAACGGGGTGTAAGTATTTTGTGAGATGGTTTCGGTTTCGTGGACGTACCCCTCATTTCGATTCATTCCAAAGGTATCCTTGCCACTTTTTAGCAAGTGTAAGTCTCACTTCTGTGGACTCTACTAATAGTGTGTCATAGGGATTAGACGTCTCTTTCCTTTAACTTTAGGGTTATCAAGGTTTCATTGGATGACACAATTCATGGATTACTGACAAGGGATCTCATGTTGGGTTGGGTCGACTATATTCATGACCAGGTTGACTTAGAGTTTTAATAGCTTGGGATAATAGATCCATGAGATCCTGACCCATCTATATCTACTTGATTAGGATTTTTTTATCTCTTTGTTGTTAAACCCCTTTGAGTTTAGACTTCCTTTGATGCCCATTGATGTCGTGTCATCGACCTCCTGTTATCAATAGGGTGTCATCCATTTGAGAATTTCAAGGATTCACCCTGTGCCCTTATGACCCGGTTAGGTCTTGAAGCATAGGGATGTCCTTGTTGAGTCAACTTAGTTATTTCGTAGACCCTGTCTGTTAACATGTCGTCATCCATTTGCGGATTTGACGGATTCACCCTCTCCCTTTTGGTTTGGTATAAGTTGTGAAGGTGGCGGGATGTTCTCAGTTGAGATGATCGTGTTTCTTTAATATAGCTTTTTCACTAGTTGTTACAAATTGTAAGCGGGGTTCTTATTATAAAGAGTTTTTCCTGGGTATCCTCGAAGATGCAATTAAACAAAGGGACATGTTCATTTGGAAGTACTATTGAAATCAGAATAATATAATATATATAGTTTCTCTGGTCATATGATATGAGGTTTAGTGTGTCTTGATCTGATATTATTTTAACATATACTCTCTTGGCTTATCGCACGAGGACAACCTTACATAAGTTATTCATGCTCTTTTTGATTTAATTTGTTCGTCTGGTTTCGTCTTATTTTCTCCTCTTACAATTTTTTCTCTTTCTTTGAATCATCTCAATGGTTCAAGAAAGAGGGTTAATTTGGAAAAGTGAATTTTAATACGATAATCTGATGAGTTGACAACTCTTACTTTTAAAATGAACCAAAACACAGACGCATTAACCTCCCTCTCGCTATAACCCTACTGAAGTAAAGAGCTCATTATCACCAACAATCTCACTGGCACCCTTGAGATTCCTTATCAGGGGCAGAGAACCGGCCATACCAGCCACATGGAGCATCTCAAAGGGTTGTCTCGTCAATGAGTGAGCTATCTATAGGATTACAGTGATTCATCATTTGCCTGATAGCTTAGCGTTGCTCTGTCGACAAGAGTTTCTCACCTAGGGTTCAATAGTCGACAACCAAATTAGAATAACCGACTGACAAAGCCGATTTGATCGAGTCAAGTCTTGTCGACCCGGAGACTATCAAAGGCCGACTAGTAATCATGATTATCATAGTCAGAAGAACAATTCTTGCCGAGCCAACTGATTCCAGCTAGCCGAGTTATAGTCATTGTCATAGGGCAGCTAAGTCGAAGGCCTATACATGTAAAATGTCTAAAATATCTTGTAAACCCCCCACGCCAATTAAAACAGAGGCTGACATGTAATTTCACATATTGTACCCACTCCTCTATAAATAGAGGATCATTTTATGAGAAACGACTAATCAATAATTCAAATCATCATTCATTAATGTGCACTCCCCTCTCTGTCTCTCACTCTCTCTTCTTCTTATCTTACGCTCTATTCCTCGAGTGCGCTTCACGAACAAATTAATATTCAACAATGATAATTGACATTTTAAAGAGCTTCAAAAATATTTCAAGAGTGCATGCTCATATCCAATAAAACCCTAAAGCTTAAACTTTGAACCCTAAACACATTATTAAAGCAAATCCAAAAAAAAATTATATTTATGAAAAAAAAAACATTTGAAAATCTCTTGTATATAACTTAAAAATTGACGACGATGTCAATGAACGATGCCAATGATGACGTTGATTTAATAGAGAAGATATATACATATTAAAAGTTTGCTAATCAATAACTAATTGCGTTGATTAGGTTACCAGCACTGTTTTTGGTTTTTTTTTTATTTTTTTTATTTTTATTATTTTTATTTTAGTTATTAAATACATTTTTTTCAATGTTATTTTATTTTTGCTAAATAATAAATATTAGTTTGTAGCACTTTGGCCAGTTCAAATAATTACTTGTATGGCTCTGTTTGATCTCTTGGACTTGCTCGACAAAATTAAATTAAAATTAAAAATAAAATAAAAAAGAAATTTACATATTTAGCACACAATTCCTTTGTATTTGCTGATAGCACCTAATGTTTGACACTTATTTTTATAATGTTCATGAACTTATGCATGAAAAATTGTCATTTAC